ACTAGACAAGCACCCTAATACTACTTCTACTAGTACACTGAGATAGATATCCGGTCACATGACATGTATCCTGCTATTGCTACTTCCTTTCTCGTCGCCCCTAAAGGATGTTCCTAACTGGGAAATGAGTTCTACAACGCAACTCGATCATATATTTATATTTAAATACTAATATGATATTCTTTTTTGACACTGACTCATTATCTTTAAGTCACCATTTAGTCTCACGATACATTCTTTTAATTATCCAATTAATATTTATTTAAATTGATTGCATAAAACATCATCAATAATATTACGTACATAAATATTTCGAATATACAATGAAAAGAAAACAATTATTCTGCATAAACTATAAAATTCTTGTTTTAAATACAACATGTTGTTCTCAGATAAATGTTAAAAAACATAAGAAACTGCTTAATTTTAATTCCTCCCTACTTTAGAGCACTGTATCAATGTATTTATTCCTAATAACTTATAGTTTTGCTTAGAAGAAATTGTTACTCTGCCTCTTATTTGAAAACACAGTATTTACGATTTTGAAAATCGTATGACTAACATTTTATGCAATTTATTATTTTGTGAATCTTATTCTAATATCTACTTTTTGAACAAATAACTTCCTTTGGTATATTATTAGTTACTTGCAGTTCTTTTTTCTACATAATATATTCATACAAGAAATAAAGCTGTTTTAAATTAATAACCATATGAAATAAATGAAGATAAAAGAATGATGAATATTTAAAATTCGTAGCAAACGGTAACTGATCAGTGGAATCATTAAAATGAGAAAGCCTATCAAATTCGCTGACATCTATGATTTACGCCGACAATGAACGCATCTTTTAAAACGCGGACCGCGGACCATAGATTACGCGGACTGTTAGGATTATTTGTTGAACTAATTGTTGTTTACATATATTATGTCTTAATTATGTATATTTTTATTCATTTACAAATTATAAAACATGGTTTAAAATAATTATTTTCAACAGAACAATTTAATTTTAAGTGATTTTTAATAATTTTTGTTTGTTGGCGGTATTGAGTTTCACAAGAGGCAACAGAGGTAATATGAAGCATGTATATAGTACTAATTTTTATTAATTCGCTTATTCCTATTTTGACTGTATGAAATATAAATTGTTACTTTGATATGGTATTTATCAATTAAAAATAATACAATGCAAGTTTAGAGTTGTAAATGAATAAATAGTATAATTGGGGAGTTTATAATTCAAACATAACCTCAGCATAAATTGCTTTAATCGGTTTCAAGAACACTTTGTAGAGTTGCTTTTCTATTTGTTATGAATAGAGTGTAAGAAACTAATGGTTTTAACCTTCGGAACTGAATATTATCGTTTTAGAACTCTGCTGAAGTTGATGACCAAGATATGGGTTCTAAACGTAAGGATAGATCTGAAAAAACAGATGAAGGGGAAAAAAAGAAAAAACATAAAAAGGTCAAAATAAAAGAAGAAACCGCTAGTGATATTGAAATTGAAGACTCCAAAGTTAAAGAGTCAGATCACATAAATGTTTTCAAAGAAGAGCCAATAGAACATGTCGACCATGAAGATAGTTAGTACACAAAAGTGTGAAATAAATGTTATTTATTAATATTTTTACAGATGAAACTATTAATATGCGTGAAGAGGATCTATCAGAGCTTTTTACTAAAATAGAACAAGTTCTTCCAGAACAAGATACCATGTCTTATAGTACACGAGTAGAAAAACTCAAATGGGAAGATGTATGAATATTTATATGCATTAAACAGTAAAAATATTGCATATAATTCTTGTATTTTATAGGTTGCATTCAAGAATTATTCTGCTGAAGAATGCAAAAAAACTTGGCTCCTTGTTCAAAAAAGAGTACGAAGGTTTAGAATTTTGAAAGAACTTCTGCATGATGCAAAAGACTGGTTAAATAAACCATGGACCAACTTTTATCGTGGTAACAAAATGGTATAGTATGATATTTGTATGTTTAATATATGGTTTACTAAGGCAAAAATTACAGAACCGTCACCCTGATATGCCAAGAAAACCATTATCTTCATACATGATATTCTACAAGAAAAAGAGAGACAAAATCATAAAAGAGAATCCAGGAATGGATATTGTGAGTCTTTAAAATTTAGACCATAATTTAAATTTCTTAAAAAAAAACTCAAATGACTCAAATTTTTATAGACTGAAGTCACAAAAATTATTGCACAAATGTACAAGTCCATATCTTCAGAAAAGAGGCAAAAATACAACAAACTTGCTGCTGAACAAAAAAAACAGTATGAAGAAAAATTACAAGAGTTTTAGTACGTATATTTTTTCTCAAATATTGACCAAAATATTATTTTGTTTTTGCTTTAGCAACCAACATCCTGAAGTGCCAAGACTTGTTAACAAATCTGTTACCCAGGGTCCAAAAAGACCCCTGACGCCATTTTTACTTTTCTTCCAAAGCCAAATTAAAAACATGGCTCCTGAGGATATTGATAAAGCAACCATTAAAGAGCAGTGTAGGGAGCTTTGGAAAAACTTTCCTGATAAAAAGAGACTTGTTTGGATAGAGTTAGCTTTAGAACACGAAGCAAAATATCTTGTAAGAAAGTTGTAGAAGAAATACTATAAATATTAAACTTATCACATTGTTTATTGCAGCAAGATATAAACAAATACAAGCAGATGAACCCTGACTTTGAGCCTCCACCGTTTAAGTCTATTTTAACTAAAGAAGAAAGAGCTCTCAAAGAACGGCTGTTAGATGGAAAACCTGTCAAACCTCCTAATTCTGCTTACAGTTTATTTTCTACAAAGATGCTACAAAGTGAAGAAATAAAAAGTTGTCCATTGAAAGACAGAATGAATTACATTTCAGGTTTATGGAAGAATATGAGTGAGATGGAGAAGAAAGAATATATTGATCAGACAAAACAGGTATTTCATACTGTATTTTCAACCTGTAAAATATATCTTCTAATATGATGTTTAACCTACAGTTAATAGAACAATACAAGTTAGATTATGCAAGTTATATTAAAGCACTTCCCAAAGAAAAGCGCCAAGAAGAATTGAAGACCCTGTCAAAAAGAAAACAGAAATCCATGAGTGAAATCAATAATCATACTCCAAAGAAAAAACGAAAAGAGAAAGCGGTAAAAGTAGAGGTGAAAGAAGAAGAAGAAGAAGAAGAGGTGCAAGAAGAAGTCAGTTTAAGTGAACAGCCTTTGGAAAATGATAATGAAGTTGAGGAATCATTGATGGCTAAAATCGTCGCATTAGAACCTGAACAGCCTCCCTTGTAAGTAAAACGGTACCCATACAGAAATAGACATAATTCATTTCTGCTTAATATATTTCAATTTGTCAGGAATGCATTTGGTTTGTTTCTTAAAAATTNGAAGAACTTTAACGGTCTTGAATGGTTTCATTTTATTGGCCGAATTTGGTAACTCTTTCAAATTAGGCATCTCTATTTCTTCAACGTATCTGTTCAAATTGATCTTATTTTCTATGCAATCAAAGGATTCCCCTCGTTTCTCCATTGTAAATATTTTATAAATAAAATATGACTGCCCAAAATCGCGATGGAAACCGTCAGCTCATTTCAATTACTAAAGCAATCTAGAAAATTAATTAATCAATTACCAATCGGTTTGTTTAGATGCAAAATAAAACAAAATACGTTGAAAACGTTCTCCAACATTTTTTAAAACTTAAATGTCGATGCAGTCGCAGAAAATGTTCTTTGCAAAAGGAAGTCTTTGTTGTTACCTTCCAAGAGGAAACACTTTGAGAGACTGAAAAGGGAGGAACAGTTCAGTCCTGCATAATTATATCCGAACTGAAGTATGTATATGGAACAATTATTACGGCCTACTAATTTATATAACGAAGTCCTTTTGTCAAGAAAGAGAAAGAAAAAAGGGACATCTATTGTTGCCGATGTCGATAAGTGCCCAAAAATGGTAACCCCTACTCGTTCAGCCATGAATATCGAATTGGAAAAAGTTTGTTGCTGTTTTAATCATAAACAAAATGTAGGTGTATATTGTTACAATCTAGCGTTATTATGTAGGGTAGGAATGCTTTATAAACGAATATATCCGGCAACGGCTAGACTGAATCTAACAGTAACATTTATACGTCTATTATAGCTCCCATGCGATAGCCTAATCTAAAACAAATTATAGTTAGGGTGATAAACATTCTGCATCATCTCAATTGAGAGAATCATCATTGAACCCGCTGTCTCATTCGCGATCTGTTGCTATCTTNTATTCTAATATCTACTTTTTGAACAAATAACTTCCTTTGGTATATTATTAGTTACTTGCAGTTCTTTTTTCTACATAATATATTCATACAAGAAATAAAGCTGTTTTAAATTAATAACCATATGAAATAAATGAAGATAAAAGAATGATGAATATTTAAAATTCGTAGCAAACGGTAACTGATCAGTGGAATCATTAAAATGAGAAAGCCTATCAAATTCGCTGACATCTATGATTTACGCCGACAATGAACGCATCTTTTAAAACGCGGACCGCGGACCATAGATTACGCGGACTGTTAGGATTATTTGTTGAACTAATTGTTGTTTACATATATTATGTCTTAATTATGTATATTTTTATTCATTTACAAATTATAAAACATGGTATTTCTTAAAAACTTTATGTACCTATATAAATTCGCTATTTTTTTTTTTTCGCAATAAATAACGATAAAGCTTCATGATTAAAAAAATGTAAAAGAAATAAAATATATGTATATATACGCACACATGTACAAGAAGAAATGAACCACCGTAAACACTAAGTTAGTCCACTATTCAGGAACACACTGTATACACTAAATAACCGCACAAGTTAAAAGTACCTATTGTATGTAACTTATTCAAAGGGCTTCGAATGACTAACTTGAATCCTTCTGATTTTCTAACTCGGTTCTTCTCCCAACAATCATCCACTTATGGAGTACAAATCGGCCGCCACTGGGATAGAAAAAGGGAGGGGATACAAATGTACGTAAAGATATTCCATGCTCCATCCCCATCTCCAAAGATTTTCCGGGAAAACAGCTTTAACGAATCTGAAGACGCAAGGGAAAATGTGCTTAAAACCAGGTGGTGCATATTTATCACAGAAAATGTAAAGGAAAATAACTAAGAATGTTGTATTTAAATTATAATTCCTTTACCCCAAAATTGTATGTTTCAATTTATTTACATAAATGAATATATTGACGATTAACAATTTTTTTATTATGTATCAAAATATGGAGAAATAAACAGCACAGTCTTAATCAATCATTGGTTCAAAAAATGTTACGCATTTTCACATTCTAATACTCATTTTCATCTAACAGTTTAGAAAAAAGCTTTTAAAATTATTCACAATATTTTATAGAATTCCCTAAAATGTCTTTTAATGATTTCAATGATTTAAAAAATAAAATACTTCGCTTCACTTTTCTAATAAACTCAAAAATAAAATTCAAACAATCACATTTATTTATTTAAACGTTACATCCTCTATATCAACTAATTAGCTGTCTGTATATACATAGGTTGAACTTAATAACTAATGTTAAATACTATTATAAATTTAATCTTTTTTAATTTCTTTTTCATGTAATCTTTTGTTTTCTACAGGTTTAATTCTCTAATCGCTTGCAAAAAGTGTGCAAATTTTAGTATATAGGCTTTCTTAAATATTTCAGACACCTGTTTCCAGATTTACTGAACTAATTGTAACTAAAGACAAAAAAAACAAACATAATTTTTTTGCTTCGCAATTACATTTTGAATACGAACAATGCTGCTTATGTTGCGAGATATTGTTTTTTAAAAAAAAGATAAAGACGCACAATTAAAAGAAATTATGAAATGATTCAATTCAATTATGGAACGGTTTTATTCATTAGTGATGTTAATTTAATTAATAAATGACCAATAAAAACTGGTCACATAACGGTTTCTATAGTACGCCTACTAAACAAATAATTAACTAATTTAAAACAAGAATCATTAAAAACAACTTGGCATATA